ATCTTGCAATATTTGGCAAAAACTGTAAATGAAATTGTATTAATCAATGTTCATTCTATAATAAACTTGTAATAAAATTAAAACTCACTTTAAAAGCAGAGACCATATTTCTTCCATTTTCTGTTGTGATGGAAATAATTTTATCATTTATATCAAATTCACTAAAAATATCAATTAATTTTTGACTAATAGCTAGTGAAGTATGAGATGGAATATATTTTAGAGCTAACAACTTTTCATTTAAATTAAAATCTGGATCTACCCAAGCACATGTTATTCCTAGGTAACCTTGCTTATTTCTTGCAGTCCACAAGTCTGTGGTGCAAGAAATATATTTAGCAACAGACAAATCATGGTTTAATTTATTTAAAGAATTTGTATAGGCATTGGAAATCCATGATTTTACTTTTTTTGATTGTGGAATTGTAAATCGAGGATCTAGCAATTTGATAAAATTTTTGAAAGACTCTGATTTCAAGATATTTAGTGGTTGTAGGTCATTAATTATAAAAAAAACCAAGGCCTTTTCAAGTTGTTCTTGTTTTTGGCTTGTATGTGGTTGGTGATTTTCAAACATTTTAGTGATTGTTTTAGAAGTGTCCTACAATGAAAATTATAATAAATTGAAAAAAATTTGTTATATATATATAAAAAAAATTTTGTTTTTTACTTACTTTAAACTGATTGTTCAATTTATTTTGGAAATTTTCTTTTGTTATACCATGAGCAGATAATAAGTGTATAATATAGTTAGATGTAGATTCACCACCACGTACTACAACATTACAATGAACAATAATATCAGAAACTTCAGAGATGTTAACTTGACAAATAACTCCTTTAGATTTTTCTCCATCCTTTACAATTTCAGTTTCTTCCATTAAGTTCCATATCCAACTTGACTTCTTAGAACCACCCTTTACCTTTCTTTTCTTTAAAATATGAGCACCAGAAGACTCCTCCCTTCTCATTATTGTATTATTACTTTCTCCTATTATAGTGAGTGAAGGCTCTTCTTCGATTTTAAATTTAATTAATTAGATGAATTTATTTGACGCGAGAAAATTTTATTTTGATGATCTGATTCAATTTTTTCAAAATAAAATTATTTTTCGGTTGAATTTCTCTATTTCTTGATATGTATTGTTATCAAGTGATTTTTTGATATATATCATTGTTGCATCAAATGCAAGACGATATGAGTCTTTATATAATGATTGAGATTACTGGTTTATTAGGTGATGTGATCAAAGATTCTGTCATTGTTTCCATTCCATGTTTACTGGAGTTAGTGAAACCTTGTCAAAAAATTATAATATAACAAATAGAATGAATAAAATAATATATCACACATGATAACAACAAATGCGGACCTAAATTCTAACCTCATAACAAGTTCTTTTTTCTCTTCCTGTGATTATATTTTCTTCGCTATTTCTTTTATTTAATAAAAGAAATAGATTGAATGTAAGTTTAAGTTTGAATTTTTTTTTGTGCTAATATTTTATTATTACTGTTTATTTACAATAATATTATTATCAAATTGATTAATATTTTTTTTCAGTATAAAAAAGTTTTGGTAATGTCTCAAATCAAAGCTAAATTAATCTATGAACAAAAAAAAAAATCAAAGAACTGCAAAATTTTTTTGATCATTATCATTCCGAGAATACTTTACCATTTGATGATTACAATGATGATTGTTATGATGATTGTTATGACCTTGAAGATTAATCAATTGGTAGAAATGTTGATATCAAGTTGGGTTGAAATGACAGATGAAGAATTTGATATATTTGAAGATAATAATAATAATTCAAATATTTTACAGAAAACACTTCCAGCAGTAATATAATAAATTTTGATTTTTATTTGAATTGTTTGTCATGTGATATAATTTTATTGGAACCAGTTATTTAACCGACATTGCCAACACTGAAATAAACATATTTTTCAAGATTCAGTGAACTTAAAAATGTAAATTTTTTTATGTCAACTATCTCATTTTCATAATAATTATTGTAATTAATTAATTACGAAATTAATTTCATAATCAATTTTGTGATTATTACGTATTAGGTTTTTGGCAAAACAATTGCCATTGCATAAGTTATAGTAATAGAAAGAACAGCAGAAATGGAGGCAGTAGCAATAGCTACAACAAATGAAACAATGATTTAGTTGATGATTGGTTTTTTATGATGTCCTCGGGAAGCAAAGTATAATTGTAAATAAATTCGTAAAATAAATTAATTGATGAGTGTAGCTAAAAAGTTAACTCAAACTCGGCCATAAAATGTAAAATAATCAATATTGGCCAAAAAGCTACCTTCACAATATGTAGTTCACTATTGAGTTAGTCTTAAACAATCCTTAACTGGTCGCAAAGACCGCATATAAAGACCGGTATTTTGGGACCGGACCAACACAACCCTACTTTAAAGTTGCAAAAACACCTCAAATGCAATTCTTTTTTGTCAGTTCTTGTCAACTTTATATTTCACCTTCTTTTAATTATTTTATTAATAGAATTTAATCAATTAATAAATAATATTCATAATTTTATTGGCCATTTTATATATGACTTTGCAAGTAGCAATCAAGGGTGCAAGGGTAATAGAACTAGCTCTTGGTGTGAAATATCTTTCTCTACCGGCTCATTGAGAAGATATTTTATTCCAAGCATGAAAAGTTTTTTTTTGTTCTCAAAGTGTCGATAATTATCTTTTTGCAAGAAAATTTTTGGATGTCTATCGAAATAGATGCTCCCGAAAATTTTTAATTAGGTAAGCAGGTAGTAGCCGAAGAATGGGGTTTCAATTACTAAAATAAAAAAATTTTCAAAAATCTCCACTGTTGACGAACGAAAATATTGACACTTCTTTGGTTTCGCTCAATAAGCAAATACATTCCTTCTATTAGAGAAAGAAGTTTTTTTTTGCTAATTTTAACTGTCAGAATTTGAATAGTTGGATATCTTCATTCATGTGCGATCTTTTATATATAAAAATAAGAGATTATTATTATATAGAAAAATTTTAAGACACTATTAGACAAATGAATCGGACAAAAGAAATCTCTTTACAAAGATGATAAAGATTTGCTAACAAGCTTTTTTGAAACAAGGATCAATTCAACCAGGTGTGTGAACGGAAAGTAGATAAGCAGTAGTTTAATTAGCATATTAATATTAAATTCATTATGTAAAAAGAAATGGAAGATGCAGCAGTTATTATTACGAGCTTTCAAATCAAAAGATGATTTTGTTGGCTTGGTCAACGAATGTTTTTTATTTGGATATTGGCAAGAAATTGTCAGATTTTGACCACGGAATACTCAAAAAGTTACTCTACAAGTAAAATACAACACAATTACATGTATTTTAAACACAGGTCAAGGATTAATCGAGTTTTTTAAATTCGAATTACGATTCGAATTATGATTCGATTCGACCCAATTCATTTAGAGATCCTTAATATTACTGTGTTAATGTTAAATATAATTACACATGGATCATGTAAGGACATAAGATAAAAAGAGCCAACATTTAATTAATAAACATCTCAATCACATGAATCTTGTAAGATCGTAAATTAATTATAAAATATCTCGATCATGTAAGAACATAAGATAAAAATAGGTAAGAAAGATAACCACGCATGGATCATGTAAAATCGTAAGATAAAATTTGTTAAGAAAGATTAATAAGATCAATCATAAGATTGAGAAACAATTAATTAATATTAATAAAACATCACGATCACATGACATGAATCATGTAATATTGTGTTTGGTTGCATTTATTATAAATATGTATAGATTTGAAAAATAACAGTTTTGATTGACATAATTTTGTTAAAATTTGATTTCATGACTACAAAATGTCACATTTATTATTATCATCAAAGTTAGAGAATAATCAAAAACTAATGAAAAATATAATTAATTACATATGTACCTCACAAATTATCCTATCGTAACACTTCAGGGTAAACAAATATTTCGTTCCAATGGTTCAGCTTCTTGTCCATCTCCAATCATAATAACTGCAACTTCTGATGTTGTTGGAGTATTGTAACGTCTAGAATCTTGTTTTCTACTATCTATGATTGCCATTCGCAAGTCCAAGGATGGATTTAATCTTACAATGTCTCCAGCTTGTTTGAACATTTCACAATATGGGTTCACATCATGTAACATTTGCTGAAGCTCCTCAAGAATAACTGGATCAAGATTAGGCATTACATTCATCCTGTTTTGCAATTCATGCTCAGTATCATACACATATATTTGAGCAAATTGAGGGTGAGCTTCATTGTCAGGAAGCATTGTGCCTATGCTATGATACATTTCTCCATGAACACGAAAGCTGTAAACACCACCTGTTCCTGTTATACTATTATCAACCTTTGCACCCATAGATGTAAAAGCCAAAGCTAAATTATATGACCTAATATTTTCCCTAAATAAACGTGCACTTGGATCTGTTCTAGTAAGAAGCACATTGAGAGGATGTGGTAATTCCTCAATAGGAGGAAGAGAAACCTTGCCTTTGGCATAACATGTTGTAAAAATTGGCGATCGTGTAGATGTGCCTGTTTTTCTTTCATCTATCCACAACAGTGCCCCGCAACAATTACATTTATGATTCATGCTTCCCAGAGAGTGACGGTCTAAACCTTGTGAACACCATGGATAAACACGCGCTTTTGATGTTTTTAGAAGAACAGTAGTCGGAGGAATAACTACTACTTGCTCAGCAGGGGTAGACATGTTATTTTCTAAAAATTGCTCAAGTCCCGTAGGGCCATCTGAATCCACATTTCTTTTGTTTTCACGATAACGCCGTTGTTGTTCACGATTAAGTCTTCATTGATGTTCTTCAGAAGTCTCATCCATAATGTCACTAACTACACCTTGCATACATACCTTCTTTTCTCCTGGGTGGTCAAGTTCCGTAGGGCCATCTGAATCCACATTTCTTTTGTTTTTGTGATAACGTTGTTGTCGTTCACGATTAAGACTTCGTCGACGTTCATCGGAAGTCTCATTCATAGTGTTATTTCTATCCATAATTTTCTTGTGTGTTATTTTATTGTGGAAATTGGGAATAGTCACGAAAAGTATTCAAACGCGTAACATATGAAATTTTATTGTAGAAATTTTATTGTGATATACATTTGCACCATTACACAATTTAAAAATTATTATGTGGTAGTCTAAAAGTTACGCATTACAACATATTTATTTATGTGTGTGACAATACAATAATAGATAGATTACATGTGGTAGTCTAAAAGTTACGCATCACAACATATTTATTTACGTGCTTGTGGTAGTCTAAACATAACGGATAGATTGTGGCACACGTTTGCGTTATTGAACAATTCAAAAAAATTATTTATGCGTGGCAGCCTAAACGT